GCGGCGGCTCCGCGGGGTCCCCCTCACGCCCGGCTCGGCTCCCTTTATCGCGCTCCTCCGCGATGGCGGCGGCGGCGGCGACGGACAAACATCTCACTGCGCAGGCCGAACGTCCTCCTCCTCCTCCTTCTCCTCCTCCGCCTCAGCGAGACGAGATCCGGCCCAGAGGGTGGAGGGGGGAGGAGGGAGGGAGGAGAGCCGAGAGTGGAGAGATTGGGGGAGGGGGGTGGGAGGACTGAGGGGAGGCGGGCGGCCGCGGCGGGGCGCTCGGATCTCGCGAGAAGAGGGCGAGCGCGCAGCCCGGGTGGGGCGGAGCGAAGCCCGGGAGCAGGAGGGCGCCAAGAAAGGAGAGGAGGGGGAGAGCGAGCTGGGGAAGGGGTGGGGCCAGCGGGGCGGGAGGCGGGAAGGGGCGGGGCCAAGGGCGGGAGGAGTCAGCTGCCTTTTTGAAAGAGGAGCGTCGGTGGGCGGGTTCTGGGCAGAGTGCTTGCTGATTGGTGGGGCTCGAAGCGGGTGTTGGGGTGCTGGTCACGTGAGCAGTGGGCGGGGGAAGCTCGGAGGGCGGGAGCTGGATTGGAGGGCGGGGCTGCCCTCGGCTAGGTCTGGGCGGGAGAATACGAGGTCCGCGGGAAAGAGCGTGGGCTGCGAGAAGACTAACTAAGTACTACAACTGGTTCCTGTTTTTCTAGGGCACATGGATTAGGGGTGGGTACTTGAGCAGAATCCGGAAACTTCAAAGAAGTTTGTGCAGGACGTATCTGCATTGTCGGGAGTTGGTGTCCGGTGTGCCTAAGGAGGTATTGCACGCTTTCTCTGTCACGTCTAAGAGGTGGAGGCGTTCGTGCACGAAGTTCCCTTAAACCGCAGAAGCTCCAAGCCCTCGTGATGCACTGATATTTTCGGGGGACCCAGGGCTTGTTAAAACCTGGTTTTCGTTCTCATGGAAATAATATGAAAATTCCCTGAATGTAGTGCAGTGTTTTGGTAAATGGTGTTAAATAGAGAGAAAAACCTATATTTAGCCGAATAAATCATTTTTGCCATTACCCAGAGCGTAGATTTGTAAAACCAAAGTTACTGTTAGTTTTCTCTACACATAATAGGAAGAATTTTTTCTTGTTTTGGGGATGGGTCTTTATTTTGTCGTTGTGTGTCTAGCTTGACTCCGTTTTGCTGTCATTTATTATGAGCCGTGTTCCTGGTGTACCAACTTGCTCAATTCCTATTATACTGGACTTCACAGTTCTTCAGGAGAGTATGAATTCCTACTAAAGCTTCTGATCCTCCTGTGTTAAATAAGCTGTTACTGGGTGGATATCTACATTTGAAAGCTGGGATTTTAATTTTTTAGAAGGAAACATAAGTAAAGTGAAATATTTTTATTAATTTTAAGGTTGAATTTGCTCTAAATTAACTTAATCGTGATGTTAAAGCTATGTGCTTTTAGTCTCTACTTGGTTGAATTTTCCCGTTGGAAATATATTTTCGTATGAATGTGTGTGTGGAGGGGGGGGTTGGTATTTTCTAATCAGAATGTTAGGAGCTTAAAGAAAATGTTTCTGAAGGGAATATCTGTGTAAATATTGAAACTCAAAGTAGATCTTCCAGAATATGTCCATAAGGTAAAATCAGAAGGAGCTCTGACTTCAAAGTAAGACTTGAATAGGAGTTTACCATCTGCACTAATTGAACCTCTATTTCCATAATAATGAGACTATGATAACTGTTTTTTGCTTTTGTCCTATTATATGGTCCACTTTCTTTGTAACATACCGATATACGTGCTAGAGCCACTGGTTTGAATCTTAGCACTGCCACATCACTGGCTGTGTTATACATCTTTTGGGGCAAAGACTTGCACGTTTGTGCCTGGAGTTCCTCATCTGTAAAATGGAGACAATACTTCCTCGTTAGTATGAAGTTTAATTTAAGTATGTTTTTAAAGCCTTAAGAGCAGCGCTCAGCAGAGAGCAACCATTCAACACTTGTTGGCTCCTCCCTTCCTATATTCAATATATAGATTTTCACAGCAAATACTTGTAAGTTTTTATCAAATAGTTCGTATCTTAAGACAAAGCTAATCTCCAACTTGAATTTTATGTAAAAAAAAAATAGTTTTCAGTAAGCTGAGGAGTCAGTGCAGGGTGGGCATTTTTATTTTGGTCAGTAAGGGCATTAAAAAGGCACAACCATCACAGACTATCCCAGTCATCTTATTAAAGAGCAAGTGTTTTAATCTCAGAAAAGGGGGAAGGTTAATTTTTTATAAAAACCAGTTCTTTAAATTAATGTAGTCTTATAAGCAATACATTGCACCGATTTTTTCTCATTTCAGTATGAGCCCCGGGAAAACACCATGGGTCAGCATTTAGGAACCCACCACAATAAGGTGCAGTTCTAGTTAATTAAAAAGCAGTATAATCACACTTTATTTTTTCGTGAGCCCAGATTTTCTTGTGTTACTCAAGAAAAATTTAACTGCATTTAAAAGAGCAGCTTATCACTTATTTTTTTTCCTTTGGTTTTTAACCATCAACTAGAAAAATGCTTAAAAATGAATGTCATTAAGAAATCTCTTGAGGATGTAGCTTAATAGTAGAGCTCATCCCTATAAATGTGAGCATAAAATAATAAATCTGCTCATTTATGTATTCATTTATTTAAGAAATAGTTATTGAATGGCTACAATATATGAGGGGCACTAGGGTGAATATGACCAGTGAGACAAGTAGTCCTTTTGCACATCTCAACATTTGGAAACCACAGACCCAAAGCAGATTTAGCAATGACTTTCTATGTACCTCAATCCAGAAATACAGATTTTCCTTTCTAAGGAAGAAGCATCCTCAAGATAGATATGAAATACACTCACAAGCAGCAGTAGACTATTCTGTTGCTTGTAAATAGTAAATGAGCTTTTAAGATGTTAGTTTTTTGGCAAACAGCCACCTGATCTAGCAGCGAAAGCAGCCCTGGAGTAGGAATTCACCAGATCTCACATGCTGACGGTTAGTATCCCCACTCCTGCTGACAGTGTTTTGACATGGGAAAACAGGGGCCCCGTTTGTACTTATCCATATGGAGCACGTGCAGCTGACAGGTCATATGGCTCGGTGGTCAGCCTTGTCTACAGCACATTCTGGTCTGTTAAAAGGGCACTATGGGGTGGAAGGAGCCCATAAAAGCAAATGTCAGCCTCTTCTTACCCTGAGTTTCTAGGTATCCAGCATAGGATGGCACTTTTATCACTGTTTCAGACCTGCTGATTTGATTGTAAAGATATTGGTTATTAAATCAGTTCACAGCCTACCAATTCGATTAGGTCAGTGATCTTGAATAGACCAAGACTGTGTTAGGGAAAGATGTGTGGTTTTCAGATTGGAAGACAAAGATGTGGAGGTATTATTACTGACTTCTTGAATGGAAGGGCTGGATCTTTTGCTTTCTTCCTTGTCCCCACCATGTGCAGTGTAGTGTGCAGTACATTCCAAGATGGCCTGTATGTGAAAACTTTGCCATCCACACCAAGATGTATAAAAACTGTAGGCCTCCCATGTGCACTTTTTCTACTTTGTCCTGGCCATTTTCATTATGTCACTGAGAGAAGCATATAAGACATATGAGCAAATCAGACATTACATCTTGAACTAAAGAAAAATCTTCAATGTCTGATTATATCATAAAAAAAAAAAAAACCCATCTCAGGGTTTCATCACACTGTCAGGCAAAATAAAATCATCTCACTGACAGCTCTGGGAACTTTCCAGTTGACATAGACAGTGTTGTGTTTATCCCAGATTTACTCAGTAAATTAATATTTCGGAAATAAAAGTGTATGTAACCAACTAACTTAATTTAGCAGAATATAAATTCTCAATAAAAATCATAGGCATTGCATTCATGTAATTTTATTTCAAAGGAAAATAATCTCCTGTTGCTGATAGTGTTATAACAGTAGCAATATCAAGAAGCCTCCAGGGGACAATTATGAATATGTACTGCTTTCATTCTTGACAAGTAAAGTATATGTTGAAATTTATAACTCATCAGCTCTGTCTTTGTGAAGTAAGTTAATTTTGGAACTGGGATAAAGCGTGAAACTATAGAGTCATCTACGAAAATACTTTAAATCTTATGATAAATTTAGTAATTGTATGAATTAGGACTACAGCCATCAGCAAATGTAATAAAATAGCAATAACCTTAAACTTCTTCAATGTTATTTGCCCTGAGTTCATAATAAAACCGTGTTCTTAATTCTTATGACTTGACCTGGAAGAAACCAAAATCTGAGTGAGTTAAAGGAAACCTAAAAAGAAGAGAACAGCTTTTAAGAGACTAAAGGTCATAAAAATTCTTGAGGCCTATTTCTAGCCCCAAATAGTTATAATGAAATAATTCCTAAGATAGGATGATTCTGTGTCATTGGTTTCCAGATCCTCTCATTCTTGGTCCTCCTAGTTATTGAGCAAAGGACTCACTGAATGGGGCTGTCGAAGACAGTAGCACCCTTGATGCTGTTCAGATGAAACTGCACTTTACATTTAACTCAGTTAATAACACTTTGCGGAACTTATGGTCTCACTTAGGAGACTATTAGAAACAGTACCTCACTGTTACTGATTGCTGAAATGTTCCTGAAATGTTCATTGAAAAGTGCCTCTCTCTGTGAACTTCCAGGTCTTTCTTTTTTAGAACAACTATTTCAGATTCTTAAAGCATTTTCACATTCTTTTATTAATTATTATAGTGGTGGTGTTCTTGGAGAGAGAAAGTGTGTGTGTGTGTGTGTGTGTGTGTGTGCGTGCATGTGTGTGTGTTTTGAAATGAGATCTCAATATACAGTTGAGCCTGACCTTGACCTTTGTGGCCCAGGCTGGCCTAAAGTCAGCCTCAGCCTCCCGAATCTTGGATTGCAGGCAAGCACCAGCACGCTCAGGTTTTCAAGGGATCACTCATTGGGTGTGGTCTTGCTGGATAGTGGTTTCCATTTCCAACCAATACAGCCAAAGGGGCCTGATCCTCCCTCTCTACTCCCCAGCTCACACTGTGAGGAGATACAGTGAAGACACAAGCAATCCAGTCCTCTTCCAGAAATGTGATTGAGCAAATGCCTGAAGTCCCACGGCA